ATCTGGCTCAGAAACATGACTCAACATATTCAACAAGCCAGTGGACTATCGAACAATAATGACCCGGCGGTGATATACGAAGACAATGCAGCATGTGTCGCTCAAACCAAATAAGGATACATTAAGAGTGACAGAACTAAACATATCCCGCCAAAGTTCTTCTCATATGCGCAAAAGCTTGAAAGAAACAAACAAATCAAAGTTCAATACATTCGATCAAGCGATAATGCAGCAGATTTATTCACGAAGGCTCTTCCGACGATAATATTTCGAAAACACGTACATAACATTGGAATGAGACATCTTCGAGATTTGCACTGATGATAACTCGAGGGGGAGTATGTGCAGCTGTACTCTTTTTTCCTTATCTCGGTTTTTTTCCCACAGGGTTTTTCCAGATAAGGTTTTTAACGAGGCAGCATAAACGCACATTTAATAGTGGTAATTCTAAGGAGAAGTGTTATAAACAATTAGGTGGAATCTTACCACTATTAAAACTTATCATTGTATAATTATATTAATGTTGTGTTAAAATGTGTGCCCAACTTTGCCTATAAAAAGGCAACAAATGTAGTGCATTGTGATGTGCACATTTTGAGTGAAGGAAGAAGAGAAAAGAAAGCAGCTTATAATTTGTTCCAGTTTTTACATTGTGTTCTTTATATTCCTCGCATTTCATAACACATTTTATGTTATAAGATGCTAAATACAACCATTTTTAATAAACGAATCGTGAATACAATCAAAACCGTTGACAGCAGCGAAACAAGTGTGATAAGTAAAACCCAAATTTTGTTATGAAAGTCTTCAAAATAGATGACGTAACGAGGTGGGCGTGGACTAAGTCAACATCTCTACGGCTCGGCCGTTATTGGTTGAGTTGGGCAATGATAATTTGTCGTTTATTGGATCATTAGTTTTGAGCGCTGGGCCTAATATGACGCATCTAAACCAGAGTTATTGGTTTAGAAAACTGACTTGAATGCGCGGTTGCCCGGCCCAACGGCGGTGTGAAAAGCGGTGCGGTTGGCGGAAAGTCGAGCATTAGCAGCAACGATGAAGTTTCTTTATTTTTAAGTTAATGTTATTTAAATATGTCATTTTGTTATAGAATCTCAATTTTTTTGAACGGTGTATTATATTTATTTCTTTTCAGAAGTGTTTATATGTTATTTATCTTATGTATAACTGTATTCGATTTATAATTTGCAGTCATTCAGAATTATGTATTATGTTTAATCTCGTTTCAGAATAGTTTAAATGTTGTTTATTTTATGTATAACTATATATGATTTTATCTTATGTATAACTATACGGTTAATATTAAAGAACTGTCGGATCATGTTTATCTGATGAATATCTACATTATATCTGAACATATAGTTGGTGGTTTGACGATTTTTTTTTTTTTTTTTTT